TTTGTTTGTCAATCTGCAGCCGAGTGAAGGCCTTAAGCGGAAGCTTGGCATTATCTGCTCGACAATGACTTGGTGCTGTACCACATGTGCTAGAAATTAGTGTCTAGAACCAAATGTTAATCACAGGGATCGCTATACATTGATGGCATAAATAGTACGTTTCTCTATATAAAAAAATCTATCATGACTCACTCCCTTTTAAATAAAAATCTCCCTTTGCTATTTCAGTGAATTGAACGACTGACTCTGGGTACTTTTGCATGTTTGTTCTAGGGTGAGCCTATTTAACTTCCCAGTAAACTGCTAGATCTGCTAGAATTAGCTCTGTTCTTCCCTTAGGTCTTCAGAAAACAGAAGTGATCTCTACCGCCGGAGGTAGAAATTGGCTCTTTCTGCTCCCTTCTCACTGAAGATAGGATTTACAATTCAGGCCTCAGAAACATGTCTTCTTTTTTGGTTCCAATGATTTTTCCCAAGTTAGTCCTCTCATTAGGACCAATTTTCTGGAATGTTAACCGAGATACTTGCAAAAAATAGTCCTGTGTTCAAAGGCTTGGGAAAAGATTAAAAAGAATTAACAGATGAATGACTGGTTTCCACACTTCAAGACTTCCCAGTGTTTATTTCCAATAAAAGGATAGAGTATTCAGGGTTTTTTTCAACTTGTTTGACCAAATAATTTTTTTCAAATGGAGCAACTTGTGAGACTAGCTTTCCAAAGAATATATTCTTGGAAATGTTCAGCTCAAATGCCAAAAAGCTGAGACCTGATATAAAAAGAGCTTCATAACTGACTAGTCTATGGGAAAGCCTTCTAACCATGCTTGACCTCGACCTTGAATTCTTCATCTGAAAAATGGGAATGATTATCGCTTCTGCTTTCAATATTTTGTGACCACAAGACAACTCTATTACTACTAGGTACTGCCACTTCCCATGGTAGACACTATTTATGGGTTTATCCAAGAGCACTTCTCCCTTTGTTTCCGTGACGGAAGATGTGAAAGCTAAACACACACTTTCTTATACTTATGCAGTTAAGGATAGTAATATGAGATGATTCTCTCCATGAGACATAAAGGCAATTTTTATGGGACTCTGAGAAGACTTTTTCCCCCCTACCAAAAGGAAGCAATGCACGGAGCCATGACGGCCAGCATGTAACCATTAGCAACAGGTGTATGGAACAGGGGAGATGTTAGCTCTGGAATCACCGAGCCTTGGAGAAATACCAGGAGCAGTTTACCTGCACGTTTCTTGTGATATAAGGGAAATGAAACCAAACAGATCGTGTAGATCTCTGAAAATCTCGCTTGATCTTTCTTGCAGTTGAACACATTTCTAAGAGGTTTATCTGCCATTCACTGAGTACTTCCTATGTGCTGATACTAAGAATTTAACACATAGCGTTTCATTTACTCCTCACAATAAGGTTAATTATCTACCATTTTACAGTGGAAGAAATGAACTGAAGTACTTTGTTTAGATTCACATAGTACCCTAGGTCCCAAAAGATTGATTGGCTCATTGGCATATTACAGAATTTGAGCCAGAGAAGCATAAGTAATGGGGGTAATTTAGAATAAAATGTGAAAGTATTAGTAGCACCCAAGTTCACTTGTTTGCCATTATTTAAGCCCCAATGTGACAAGCAATGTGATACACACAGGCCTTTATAAAACCATAAACTAAACAGGGAGGTGAATCTATGCATAACCTGTTATATTCTACAGTGTGATAAATACCATGTTAGTGTTCTGAACATCTTGAGTTTGGATCATAAAGAAGAAATACTTAATTTGAGAGCTCATGAGATATATAAAAGAAAGGAATTTTAGTTTGGATCTAATATATTTCTTAGGATTGTAGCTTACTTAAAAGGGGGAGCAGGTATGGTACGTATGTGATTTGAGGGTATTATAGTTTTCTCTGGCCTTTCTTCTTCTCCATATAAAAAGTAGGTTCCAGCCTAAACACCCTGGTTAACAGCAAAACAGAACTCTCTATATAACCTGACTATATAGCCTGCCTCAGATATGACCACATCACATAGACAGACATGGGTTTGTCAATACCACATACAGAAAACCCAACAGCTGCCAAAGGTCACTCCTTACTCTCTTTGATAGTCTACTACACCCAAATGTACTGACTGCAAAATCCAGGCATCAAGAAGTACATGACCATGTAGAGAAAACAAGTTAAAATATTGCCCCCAAATCCTGAACATTCCTATTTTCTGTTAGCACTCTCAGTAAATTTTGTTGTTGAGGTTGCTCCTTTGTTTACTGAAGTACAAATGACATAGCTGAAAATAGTAAACTAATATTACTAGAGGAACATAATCTAATATTACTAGAGGAATTATAGCAAAACATGCGATCAATGGATGGGATTAATGGCCTGATTCTTTGGTAGAAACTGACGACCACAGGAATGCAGGGGTATTTGTAATACAGGTCACTGTAGGCTTAATCTTATGAAGGCAGAACCACTAGAGTGTAGTCGTATGCACACTTGAAGACAAGTAAAAAAACCCTGGCACATCACTACCTTCCCAAACCCATTCATTCAACAAACATACCAACAAATGATTATTGAGTATCTCCCATATGCCAAACACACTCCTGTGCACTTCCTGGCACTGGAGGCACAGTAATTTACAAGGTGGACAAGGCCCTTACTCCCAAGGGGCTTACCCTGCATTCAGTGAGACACAGGGTGTCCTCTACAGTTTGGAAGCGGTTAGATAATGTAAAGACAGGGATCCCAGGAAAGCCCAGGCTGTATGATCAATGTGACTATAGATCTGTACTGCTTTTTCTTATGTTCTCTTTGGTTGCATACCCCACACAGAGATTTTCAGATGTGGAAGACTGACAATTGTTAACTTACTAACACTTAAAAAGTGCTTACTGCATGCCATCCACTCTATACATATTGACTCATTTAGTTTCACAACCATTGGATGATTATGTATTTCATCATCTCCATTCGTTAGAGGAGGAAACTGAGGCATAGAGAGGTTAAGTGATTAACCTACAGTTAGGTCACACAGCTAGAAGTGATGCTGCCAGATTCAGTCCCAATGCTGTCTAGTTCTGGACCCTGCTACCTTCCATAAAGTATTTACAGCGTGCCTGCACTTTATACATATTATTCCTTTCTCTCTTTACAATTTTATGAAGTAGGTGATAGGATCTCAATTTGGAAGATGAATTAAGGCTCAGAGAGAAGAAATGGCAGTGCCAGTGCTCAACCCAGGAGAACCTGGCTGCAAAGCCAGGGCTCTTCACCATCCATCGTTCCACGCTGGTCTCTCTAAGGAGCCTGCCCTAGAGAGTTCTGGGGGTGCTTAGGCACAGACTCACAGTTCTGTCCCTTTAGCAACCTGTTTGTTTTATCTCTCAGGATGCCAAGGAAAACTTTATTTACAGAAAGAGTTTAAAGAAAGGCTGATAAAGTAAGTTGGACAAAATAAATCTTCTTAGACAAAATAAAAAGGCTGATCTTGCAGAAGTTTCTGAAAAAGAATGTTTTAGAGAAGAGTCAGGAAGGCAGATGGAAAACATGCCAGCAGGTTTGAGATATGGAAGGCCTTCTGTGTATAGAACATGACATCGCCAGGATTTATTGAAGAAACAGAAGACATAGTTTTCCCTGAGGTTTACAATTTAGTTGACTACCTTGAACAAGGTACATGGAAAGAGATGAGAGGCACACAGGAATTAGAAAAGAATTGAAAGTGGCAAGGATACATGTTAATAATGCAAATGAATTGGGCCATGTAGGTAACTCTAAATACCTTATGAATCCTTTTCAGTCCTCAACAGATACAGTATCTTTACTGTCACTACAATTCAGGCTTTGAGGAGTTAGGGCTGATAGAAAATAAGACTTTTTATGTAGGTTGAGTGATGGTATAAGAGAATTGTTCAAGCAATATTATTTAGCTATTTATCTTCCATTTGAAAGATATTTATCTTCCATTTATTTACCTAGATTTTAGGAAAATTGTCAAATCTCTGTAGAGTTAGTGGATGATGCCCTGACTAGCTTTTTTGATATGTACTTTCTTTTTTTTCCCCTTTATTTACTTTAATTTTTTCATCAGATATGTACTTCTTATAGAGAGGAGGTCCTTATTCCAAATTCAACAACTTATGTAGCCTTTTAACACCTTCAGATTTGTTCCCTAGCCACTGATAAGAAGTTCTCATTGCCTTTTGAAGTACCTTAGGGGGGCACTTATCACATAAGGCAGTCCCTTACATTGGAGGAAATCAGTGACTGTTGACTTGAGATTCTTTTCGGATGGCAATTGCCCAGTAAGGATACCTGTGGTACTGAACTTGGTGGCGGCGGTGGTGGGGGGATGGGACTGTGGGCAACAGAAAAAGTGGGAGAATGGCCGGTTGTTTAGAAAGATTATACTCAAAGCTACTTTGTTCTCTTATCTCTTTCATGAGCTTCGATATTTCTCAGAGTTCAAATTGTCCACTAAGAACCAGAATATAATTTCTACATTCTCATGCCTCTATGGTCTGAGTACATGCACGTGCAGTCAGACGTGAGAGGCTCTCGGTATTCTGTTCTCAACATCGTCTTATTTGTTAACAATAATTTTCTCTACTCTTTTCTCGTGAACTACAATTTATTCCACAATGTATCTTTGTCCCCTCAGGACCTGGAGGGTCTGGCCTTGGCTCGATGACTGAACTGTGCTCTCTCTGCCCTCTTGACCTCACCCCCCCTTTGGCTGTAAATCTTTGCTTTCAGAGGTCTCAACTTCTATGTTTCTGCCTTGGCCTAAGTCACTGGGTCCACATTCAATTAACCTCACAGAAACCATTCAGTGAAAATATCCAAAGCCCCTTTCCCAGCACCCTGCCTCCTATAGTTTCATTCATTCAGATATTTTCCATTTAAAAGCCCCTGGAAGCAAATGCCCCTGCTTCAGCAATAGGAGCCAGTGCCCACAGTGTCCCCACAGCCTTTACCTGAGGGTTTCCCCAGAGGAGCCTCTCCTCTTCCACAGGTTGACGAGGCTGCTGGACCTGCTGGCTGCCGAGGATGACTTGCCATCCCCCACGTGCATACGCACCACCGTAGACGTGGTGAAGGCGCTGCGCACGTTCCTCTCCGGTTTGGCCAGGATGATGTACACCTTGGGCACAAACATGCAGCCTAGCGCCACGGTGGCACTGAGGCTGACCGAGAAACACATGGTGATGATTTTGTAGTTGCTGCCAAAGTAGATCGGCACGAAGGCCAGCCATATAATGCAGGTGGTGTACATGGTGAAGGCGATGTACTTGGCCTCGTTGAAGTTAGCCGGGACGTTCCGGGTCTTGAAAGCATAGAAGGTACAGCTCAAGATCAGCAGCCCGTTGTATCCGAGAGGAGTGACAACTCCCAGGTTGGTGGTGTTGCAAATCAGGTAGACCTCCCGGATGCTCGGGTAGTCGTGCATGATGTCAGGAGGCTCCATTATAAAGAGGGCGACGATGATGCCCAGCTGAATGCATATGAGAATGAAAGCAATCACCAGCTGGGCACAGGCACTCATGAATCGGGGCTTTTTGGTACAGATCTTCTTCTTGCTGCCAGCCAGGATCCTTGCAATACGGTTGGTCTTGGTGACGAGGGCTGAGTAGCTCATGGCTGGGGAGAGACCAATGCCGATTCTCTGAAGGTAGCAATAAATCTGTTTGGGCTTTGCAATGAGGCAGAAGGTACATAAGTAGCCCAGGCAGATGCCAGCAAGGATAATGTAGCAGAGTTCCCTGCTGGAGGACTTGACTACCGGGGTGTCACGGTAGATGATGAAGACTGCGGTGACGAACAGGGTGGCCAGCAGGCCAAGGCAGGCAAACACCACAGCTGCAATGGGCTCGGGGTCACCCCAGCGAAGGTACTGGACTGGGATCAAGTCACAACCTGCAGAGAGACACAGACACATGTTGGAAAAGAAGGAAGAAACGTTTACCTAGGCCAGCTGTGCCTAAGTTACAAGCAACTGCTTATGACCCTTTCACTTTGTCTCCAATCTACCATTCCAATCTCAGGATCCCAAACTACTCATTTCTGCATACATTCATTCATAAAATATTTATCTTTATATTATAATGTATTAATATTAGGAGCTGTTCTAGGTTCTGAAAACAAAATGATGAACATGAACATGATTCCTGCCTCATAAACAATAATCAGGGTGGGGGAGAGGATACTTCCAAAGAACTACAACTGTAATAAGGGCCAGAGAGAAGTATAGTATGGATCCTGACCTAGTCTGTGGAAGCAACAAAGTCTTCCTTCAACAGGAATTTGCAAGAGAAAGTATTGGTTTGGCTGAGTTTGGAAATTCAGTAGGTTTGGCAAACAGATTAATAGTAAGGAAAGAGCTAGGAGGCATTGGAAGCAAGCAAGGAGGCCAGGGGACAATAGCGTGATGAGTGGTCCAAGACAAAGCTGGGAGGTGGGTGGGAGGGGATCTTGCAGAGCAGAGTCCTAGATCAATGGGGAGTCATTGGAGGGATCTACGTAGAGTAGGGGTATGACAAGGGCAGATTTGTGTGTGTGTTTTAAACATTCCTTTGGTTGCTGTGTGGATTTTGGATGAGATAAAGGTATGGACAGATTTCAGAGCTATCTGAAACAAGATAGAGTGTTTAAATGGATATGGAGATATATGAGAGGTAAAGTCATCAAGGTTGACCAACAATAGGTCAATCTCTGCTGTCCTTGAATCTTCTGTATAGACAAGTCAGGATTTTCAGAGAATCATATGATTCCAGTGTTATAGAAGAGAAGATAGTGTTTAAAAAAAGGAGTGTATAGTAGAGGAAAACTGACCCCAAAGGCAAACAGCTGGCCTCTATGGCAAGTGCCAATACTCCCCAAATTATTCCCCACTCATGGCTTGCAGGGGCTTTTTGTTTTTTAAATGCCATTTTATTACACAAAAGAAAAAAAGTGACAAAATTTGGTATCATTTGGGTTACATACCTTTTTAAAAAATTCCTTTGGGACAGTAGTTCTCAAACTTGGCTGCACAATGGAATTACCAGGAGATATTTTTTAAAAAACACTGTGGCCTGGGTCTCACTGACATGGTTTCTGATTTAACTGACCTGGGCATCAGGACTTTTTAAAGGCACTTTCAGTGCTTCTAAATGTGCAGCCGAAGTTGAGAACTACTGCTCTAGAAAGATCATTCCTGTCAATTACATTTTTAAAAATAGAACTGAGATAGCTTTATCATGAGTACGAAAGGAGGTAAGTAATCTGGAGCACTGGACATGTGAGGAATGTTGCAGAGATTACTAATTGCTTGCAAATGTGTATTCTCCCCTTTATCCTCAGTGACAGAGCTCCAGTTTCACTTGGGGTGCTAAGGATGCAGCTAAAACACTACATTTTCTAGCACCCTTTGTAGTCAGATTTGCCAAGTCACTAGGTTTTAGCCAATAACATGTAAGCAGAGAACTCTTTTAAAGGAAAATGACCCATCCTGGTGAGGCCCTTTTTACCCTTCCATGCTTTTTCCTTTTGCTACCTGGAACACAAGCATGTTGGCTAGACCTCCAGAAGTTATCTTGGAATGTAAGGTAGCTTTAAGGACAGAAAACATGTTCTGGGTTTTGGCAGAGAAAATAGAGAGTGCCCGGATCCTGGTTAACCATGGAACCACAGTCTAGCTCTGTGCTATGTACATTACATTTACCTTGTTTAAATTACTGTGTTTTTTTTTTCCTTCTGATATATGATATGCAGCCAAACCAAATCCTAATTGATTTCAGTGTAAGGTTTTCCTATTAACTGCCCATATCTCACGATTAAGGGTGTTATAGTAGGTGGCTATGAGTATCACCGGCTACTGGGAGGTACGAATAAGTACTGATAGCAAAGAAGCAAATGGGCTTTTTAAAATTCTTCTGAAAAGGAAAGGGAATATTCTTCTTTTCATTATTTTTGCCTTGCCAGTCTCTTTCTTCAAGTTCTCAGGTTTTGAAGAATACCATTAATATAGTTAAATTCACTATGGGTTTAATAGGATTTGTGAGTTAGCCCAGGATCCTCAGCACACTTTACAAAATTGTTTCTATGGAAAACTGTGTCTTTATTTAAAAAACTATACATTTAATATTGAAACAAAGTGTTTTTAACTTTTAAAAAGTCTGTGGATAGCCCAGATTATATATGAGAGTTATTTTACTTAATGCCATTAATTATAAATAAATGCATATGTCATTGCTAATTAATATACCTGTATCCATATTTTTAGGTGTCATATATGCTACTTATATGTAGGAATTCAACGTCTGAGACTTAGGCATACCATGGGATTTAGGTGCATATTTATAAATTTGTTCCTTGTAGGAATTATTTTACAACAGGAAAATAGGGACTAATCATTCTTATTTTTATTCTTTCATAACAATTTATTTAACACACAGATGTGAAAATGAAGATTACTATCTACTGTAGTTAATTCTATAGAGACCAGTTTCCCTGTTGGTCCTGAGCTACTAATGACCTAGTAATTTACTGATATAGGAAACATGTTATATGATACCTGAGCAGAACTCCTTTCATTAGCTAGAGAGAATCAACTGAAAAAATATAAATGTTGCTTTAAGGGTTTTCATTTTACTCTCTTCTTTTTCCCCCCTCTGTTCTGTTAAATCTTAATTGCTTTTATCTAAATGTAATTAACACCCTAATTACTAAATGTTTTGCATATGATAACATTCACCACTCTTTTTGTGTCAAATAGTTTCTTCAACTCTTCATGTGCAACTAATTAACGTCATTTGTGAAACAAAAGAAAAGCCCATTAGATATATGTGTTGGAAGAAATGTGCATAAAGAATGTTTCTAATCTGATGTGATAATTTTCACAAATTTACCAGAATTTATACATTCAAATGAACGCTTTTTTTCATTAAATGGGCACCACTCAGAAGGCTTTATGTTTGGTTTAATCATGCTGCCATCGCACAAAATACTTTTGTAACTATTTTCCTGGAATAGCAGATTGGATTCTGAGTAGAGTATTATAGCTACTGAATCTTATAACTGGACCTTAGAGATTTCCAAAACTGGACGTGCACCACAATCATTTGGAGAGCCTGCAGAAATACAATTCCAGGGTCCAAACTCAGGACATTCTGACTCAGTACATTTGGGGTGGGACAAAGGAATCTTATTTCTAATAAGCAAGCTCAATGACTACATAACTCGTCCTTGGTCCCTGGTTGGCAACCCAGCCTTGATTTCTCACCCAGATTGCAAAGGTCCTATATAATAATTCCAAGATGCAATCGCCCTAACCGTACCTAAGGCTTTCCATGAACTACGTTATCTCATGGCCAGGACTAGTGGTGGGGGAAGACAGGTTGGAAAGGCAGGTGAGGCTGGCAGGTGGAGACAGGAGGCGCATAAACTGGTCAGAAAGGCTGTCACAGGAGGAAAGTCAAGGGACGATAGGGCAAAAGCTACAAGTCACTGTGCTGAAGAACACATTCATCTAGTAATGACCTTTTAGAGCTAGAACTGAAAGAAATTATGAGGGAGACCGACAGAGGAATCAGGAGAGAGGCTTCTAACCAAGTTGATGGCAATGCTATTAACTAAAGATAAGGGCTGTAGGTGGTAAGTGGTCACATGTTACGGGAATGATGTCTAGTTCCAGTTTGGAGGTGTTGTGTTTGAAATATCTATGACCTACCGAGAAGATGGAAACAGAAGCTTACAAGAAATATCGGAGAGGAAGTTACAGCTTTAAGAATCACCTGTTTACAAGAGGAAGAGACACGGAAATGAAAGCCATCAGTGAGGGAATTCATAGATGAAGATGAGAGCAGAGCCTAGAGGTCTGTGTAATACCTACATTAAGGAATGGAGGAGAGGAGGGTATGTCAGGGAAGCCATAAGATAGACCAGCTAGAAGAAGGAAGTGTGTGAGAAGCCAAAGGAAAGTGGTTAATTGGGTGGTCCAGCAGACATACCTCCCTCTAAAAACATCACTTCTCTTTTACTTTTTCTTAAATTTTTACCCAAAGAGCTTGCACAAAGTTTTGGGATTCAGGTTTACAGATACCTATTCTAGTGGTATATCATTCTCTTATATTCCTTCTCCCCACCCCCAAAACACAGTACTATTAGATCTATTTATTTTGAACAAGGAGTGGTATCCTTCCATTGCTGTATTCCTATCATGGAACATGTTCTACCAAATCTCAGAATCTTGAGATAATGCTAACCCTAGCATAATGTAAATGTAAATTTTCATGGATTACTACCCCTCCTATGCACACTGGTTTACAAACACCTGAATACCCTGGTGTTCTTCCTAATTCTCTTTATTTTCTTCTACAAATTACTGGGCATTTTCTCCATTTAGCGGATTTCTGTTTTATCTCTTTTTTATTCTTAGTGTGCTGGTAAGTCACTACATACAGGAAGGCATGTAGAGGTTAACTAAGAATCTACAGTGTATATGTTTTATAGTTTTATTATACATTTAATCAATTTAGCGTATGTTATCATATTTTAGATGAAAGAATCTTGATCATGTCAGTGAAGTTCCCTCCTAGCAAGCACATTAGAGTTTCTCAGAAGATGCACATCATTAAATTGCTTTCTAGAAATGCAGATAAGCCATAGGTTAGAAAACCATGGCCTGTTTTCCGATGACACCTATTTAAGTAGCTGTTCACTTCTCACTTTCCTTCCCTTTCGTGTTTGACCCATCTTCTACGGCTCTCTGCTATAATCCATCTTCTCATAGCTTGAAGTGAAATATATTTTGAAAACACAACTTTTTTTCTTTAAGGGAAAGTAAGCTGCCAAAATGGTATTCTGTCCACATTCATCCTGTGGTTCCACCAACGTGTTTTGATACATCTAATGGAAAAATGGACGGTTCACTGATT